TTCATTGTCTTATAATATGCATTTATTTTTTACCTTACTTGCTCAACAACTCCGAAACGATTCGTTTAACGATTCATTTTTCCAAACCCCTCCTTTGTGTGACGCTAATCTGCAGTGATTGGTCCGTTCGGTCTCATTTTCATTGCATCATGCTTGTAATGCCTGATAAAGCAGTGTTTGTGAGCAGTGCTGCTTTGTGTACAGCGTTACCGGGGAAACCGCTATTTTTACTGCTCCAAAAGCAGCACCTAGTGGCAAAGAATGAATTTGCATTTTCATTCAGACCAACCCGAAAAGACCAACAAGTGGGCGGGCAATATGCTAATATTTCATGTTGACGTCAACATGAAACGGCTTGGGATTCATTTTAATGATTCAGAGTCGACTCTTTCTTTTGAGAGACAATAACTTTATACACGGTGCACTTTCAGATTTAAAACTTTGCAGGATGTTTTCATTCACTTAAGGCTGTGTTACACACTGCATGAAAGGTCATTTTCAAAAATCCATAATAGGGGCACTTTAACATAAGTGTATAAAATGGAAATGAGAAAGCAAATGTGGAAAAATAGAAGTACTATTTTTACAAAAAAAAAATCTGTTTTCCATTTACGTAATCAAAATTACACATCCCATAGATTGAGAACCACTCACCTTATCAAAATGGAAGCACGCTTACAATCCAGATAATGCTTTAATCCTGATAGCTGTGTTTTCCTCACAGATAATCTGAATGAATATCCATCAGAGAGAAGAAGAGATGCCATGTGTTAGTTCTTTTCATTTAGGATTGGCAGTGATTGATGCTTAGAGATGCTTCTGCTGACACTGCAATAACTCAAGTCAAGGTTGGACATCCCTTTCAACCTGCTTTAGACTCAGATTTAGATGGTGTACACAGCTACACCCAGCGCAAGTCTGACTGTTTGTAAAATAGGCTTGTGTGTCCTCTGAAGGTTACCCGAGCACTTACATGTTCATATCTCTGATGGATAACAGTTCACTCGTGTTTCAGGTGTCAAATAATTTTTGGTAATACAGACACGTTCTGTTGCATTTAGACTCTTTTGAGTCACCCGGGTTACAGAAAAGCATAAACTAAACCCCACTTTGATCTTAAATCAAATTGAGCGAATATATCATCAAAATGTCACATGATTAATTGTTAGATTCTATATTTATCAGACATTTTTTCCCAAGATGGGGCTTATCAAAGGTTAGTTAGTGATCAGATGAGATTAACCTTAACCCACCAAGTCAGGCCAAGTCCTTCTAAAGTTGCTGTCTCTTTAGCTTTCTCTTTTGCTCTTCTTCCACCACAGTGTGTCATGGCTTCTTATCCTCTTTGTCTCTTTGTTCTAGTTTAGTTTCTTGATTTCTTGGTGTGACCTGTCTTATAACAATAACCTCTTAGCTCTACTGTCCCTCCAAACCCTCAGCAGTTGACCAAGCTCCACCAGTTGGCTATGCAGCAAACCCCCTTTACCCCCCTCGGACAGACCACCCCTGCTTTCCCTGGTACGTACCCACAAGCCCTTTTGAAGTTTCCTTCTCTTTGTACCTGTAGAGAAGCTCTCTTCGTCTTTCTTTCTCTCTTTCCTTCTCGTTCCATGTTAAGCATCATGACATGCCCGTGGTGGTTGCTCTTCACTTTGTGGAATGTTTTTTTTATTAATTGATTTTATTATTATTATTTATTTATTTATTTTACTTTTTTTGTGGTGTTTCTTCAGAAATATATGTTACTGCATTTTTATTTTATTTTGTTTGTTAGTGTTTTATTTTACTTGTTAGGGTTTTTTTTATTTATTTGTTAGTGCTTTTTATTTTTTGTGTTATTATTTTTATTGTTTTTTGTTTGTTTTATTTTACTTGTTAGGGCATTTTTATTTTTATTTGTTAGTGTTTTTTTATTTTATTTTTAGTGTTTTATCTTACTTTTTTTTTTCTTAGCGTTTTACTTATTAGTGGGTTTTTTATTTTATTAAATAACATATCCATTAATTGTTTTATTCTTTCTACCCATTATTTCTTTCCTTATTTATTTTCTACTTTTTTGAACTTCTGATTCAAGTTCTGAAAAAAAACCTCACCTCACTTTTTTTTTTGTCAACTTTTTATGAAGCGCCTAATCCTGTACTGCTAAGACCTGGGTTAAAAGATAGTGAAGTTTTCCTTCTTATGCAACATTGTCATGTACAGGGGACTAATGGTGTATGCTCGAAAGGAATTACCAATGCCACAAAATGTGTTCTTTCCTGCCCTTCAGAAACTGGCGTAAGAGAAGCATATCAGTGTTTTGATTTTACAGACCACAACACATCTTCCATCAAGCCATTCATTACGTATTCATTTTTATAAACACTGTCTTATACAAGCTCAGTTTAAAGCTATTACTAAGGGCAAACCAAATGGCGTGTGCTGCGTAGAGCATCCTTTGCTATTCACACATATAGCTAATATACATTATGTTTGTGTTAGACCAAGGATATACTGTAGGAAAGTTTGCCTTGACACAAGCCAAGATGTGAGAGCCGGTAGAGTTATTTATGTTAGTTTAAGGTGAAAAAAGGCCTCCATAAAAAGCCTCAGGAGGACTAAGAGTTCCTGGCACTCTGCACTTGGTCCATTAAGGCCACCAGTCTTCTAAGCGTGTTTCCAGCGTGTGTATGCAGTGTTGTTTATCCTAGGCTGCTCTCGAGCTTCCCTCTGCTCTCTCATTCAGGTCTGGATGCAAGTCCCCCGGCCAGTACTCATGAACTCACCATTCCCAATGATGTGAGTATAAAGATTGACATTCCGTTTTGACTCAGTCCCCTGTCAGAAATAAATTTGAGTTATTTGAGAATATATGTCTGATGTAGAGTCCAAGTCAGGGTTTTTTAAGAACAAATCAAAGTCAATCACAAATCAAAGTCTACAAATCCATTTCGAATTGAAATATTGAAATTAACCCTACAGGTTTGTCTTAAAACCTTATAATTTTATTTATTTATTTTTGTTGTTCACAAGTCTCTAATTTGGAGCCACATGTCTCAAGTCTATTTTTTGATGTACACTACCATTCAAAAGTTTGGGGTTGGTAATATATATATACAGTGGGTACGGAAAGTATTCAGACCCCCTTAAATTTTTCACTCTTTGTTATATTGCAGCCATTTGCTAAAATCATTTAAGTTAATTTTTTTTCCTCATTAATGTACACACAGCACCCCATATTGACAGAAAAACACAGAATTGTTGACATTTATGCAGATTTATTAAAAAAGAAAAACTGAAATATCACATGGTACTAAGTATTCAGACCCTTTGCTGTGACACTCAAATATTTAACTCAGGTGCTGTCCATTTCTTCCGATCATCCTTGAGATGGTTCTAC